GGGGGGTCGGGGAGGGTTGTCCATGGGGGGCACTCTGTGAGGGAGGGGTGCTTGGGGCCCCTGGGCTGAAGGGTGATTCTGAGGGGGGAGTGGGCCCTGGCGGGCGGGGTGCTTGGATGAGGGGCCTGCAGTGTGGGGTCTCCCGTGCGGATGGGGGAGGCGGTAGCAGAGGAGGGCGCACGGTAGGTGTCTGCGGGGGATGGGGTCAGAGGTGTGGGGTAAGAGGACGCCGGAGTGAGGGCCTGTGTGTGGGGCCTACGAGAAAGCTGGAGAGGGACTTTTTACAAGAACGTATAGTGATAGGATGAGGGGTAATCGCTTCAAACTGGAAGAAGGTAAATTTAGAGTAGATACTAGGAGCAAATTTTTCACTGTGGGAGTGGTTAGGCATTGGAACAGGTTGCCCAGAGAAGCTGTGGATGCCCCATCCCTGGAGGTGTTCAAGGCCAGGCTGGATGAGGCTTTGAGCAACCTGGTCTGGTGGGAGGTGTCCCTGCCTGTGGCAGCGGTTTGGAACTAGATGTTCTTTAAGGTCCCTTCCAACTTAAACTATTCTATGATTCTATTTTATGAGAGAGCAGTGCAGTGTGAGGGAAGGTGTGCAGCGACATTGTGCTTTGTTAGGGTGGAAGGAGGGTTTCCTGTGAGGGAACATCCCTGCACTGTGCTCTGTGTTGAGGGGAGATGAGCCAAGAGGCAGGCATGGGGTTGTCCATGATGAAAGGCTTCTATGAAAGTGAATATGTGGAGAAAGGAGGGGTGTCTAAGAAATTAACGTGGAGAATATTTTGGAGTGACGTCTGGGAGGAACAGAGTTAAAATTCCGAGGTGCAAGTGAGAGGAGTACTAACAGGAAAAAGGTGATTGGGACGGGAGGGAGATAATGAAGGTTATGAGCATGACTGGGAAAGTTTAATGGGGTGAAAGCTGTAATGTGGACACTGTCAAAGGTTAAATAGAGAAACTGGAATATATGGGTGAGTTTCTATTCCAGCACTGGAAGCTGCCTTGATTGCATGTGCTCATTGCCCAAGTGACTGGCAGGATCAGAGAAGAACTATTTTGCATCTTTTTCACTGTTAGAAAGTAAAAGAAACTATTCTGCAGTAGCAGCTATATCAAAGTTTTCTTGTACATCCTAAGTAGGAAGCCTTGTAACCAATCTAGCAAAGTATTATTTACCTGGAATTTGCTCCCTAGTGATCCCTAGTGCTCCCTAGTTTCTAAACAAGTACCAGTACAAATGCTCCCTTTCCCTAATGATTGATTAGCTTTGAATATTGGAACTCAGTTACTGTGATAAACTCCCCTGTAGGTCTTACCGGTAAGTATTTGCTATTGTATTTGGGGGGGGGGGGGGAAATGTGTTTTAAAGACTTTTCCTAACAGTACTTTGAAGAGACACTGACAATATTTGGCCCCAAGCCTGCCATGGGAAATGTGTGCCTGGCAGCAGATCCCTACTGATTTAATTGTGACTGTGCTCAAAGCTGTGTCTGAATTCTGAGCAAGAGAAATTGTAACTGCTGTATATCACCATGAGTTAGAATTTAAATCTCCTATTCATCATCAGCATTGTTGTTTGCTATCCTCTTTGCCCCTTTGTGCTGCCCAAAACTTGTTGGAAGCATTCTCTGTTGCAGTCAGCAGCTTTACCTGATTTGCAGCTCTTACCACCTAATGTTTTTCTTTTGAGCTCTCCTTTGTTGTTGTTGCGTAAAAAAATTTGTTGCTATTACGAAACAGGTTTTTGTGCTTAGGATATTGCTCAATTTTCACTTTGGGATTTACTTCATTAGGCATGTCACATGTTACTTAGAAGCATATGCTCTACTTCATATGTTTTCACAATGATATGCGAGCTCCTGCATCCCCGAGTAATTTTAAATGATAATTGTATTTTATTTTTAAAGAAAAGCATGTAACTGTATATGTAAACATCTGTGAATTTAAGTTTGTTGCCCAACATACTTACTGTAGGGCTGTTTCTTCATGAGTCTCTGCTATTAACCATCACTTGTGTAAGTTAGGAGCCAGTTCCTGTTTCAGTGTAAAGTTAAATATATATATATAGACTTGCATAATGGTAATGGTGATTATTCTTTTTCCCATTTTATAAGCTAGTAGGCATTGTGATTCTTGACCTAGCCTCCCCCCTCCCCAGTGATATGTGATATATATGAACTATTTATGCGATTTTTCTTTTTTTCTTAATATTAATTGACATAATCTTGTAGGTAACCTACATATACATGGGGAAAAGGAAAAAATAAAAATGGAGGTATCTTTATATCTTTACTCACCCTTGAAAATGTTAGACCTGCTGTTGATAGATGGTAATAGTGAGGAAATATGGAATATTTGTGCAAATTGTTGGGCTTTCTTTTTTTTTTGTGTGTGTGTGTGGGTTTTTTGAGGGGGGTTGTTTTGTTTGTTTGGTTTTTTTTGTTAAACAGTTTCAATTTTGCTTTGTAGAACCAAGTAAGTTTTCACAAACACTGAACGGAATTCCTTCTTCAAACACAGTCAGCAGTGGAATGGACCCCTTCCATGCTTGTAGTATTCTTCAACAGCTTAAAACCATGTATGATGAAGGACAACTGACGGATATCGTAGTGGAAGTGGATCATGGGAAGACATTCTCCTGTCATAGGAATGTTCTTGCTGCAATCAGTCCTTATTTCAGGTATGATGGTCCGTTGTTCTAGGGGTGATCAAAAGCAGATTTATATCTTATTTTCATTAAATGAAAATGAAAAAAAATTACACCTATACTAATACTCCACATGACTGTCAATAATATAGTGCACCTAGCAAATAAAGTTTATTGTTCTCTTAAAGTCAATGAATCATCAGTGTCTGTTTATCAAAGGAGAGTTTCAATGGAGAAAATATCACATGATTATTAAATAAAACAAAAAAAATGTCTCCAGTACTGAAGGTATCTTGGATACAGTAACTGCATATTTAAACTACTTGTTTCCTTTCAAAGTTACGTATTCCAGCATGCTAGAATACACATATGAAATAGCATGTTGGAAGTAGAGTGCAAAGGCTTGGAAACTTTGCTTTGTAAACCGAGTGAGTTTAGTATGGGGTTAGTGAGATAATTAAGCAAGAAATTCCGTTTTTGCTTCAGTAAGTCTAGAACTGATGTTACATTTAGGTGCTCAGACAGGTCACCTCAGCAATAAATGTATTTTTGCTGATATAAGGGCAAGTACCTTGGGGCTAGCTGTACAATATAATTTCATTTCTCATACCTGCAGTTAAAAGGTAATTACAAATAAACTGCTAAATATTTTTCTTTTGTAGATCTATGTTCACTAGCGGCCTTACAGAGAGTACCCAGAAAGAAGTTCGTATAGTTGGCGTTGAAGCAGAGTCAATGCATTTAGTATTGAACTATGCATATACCTCCAGAGTAATGCTGACAGAGGCCAACGTTCAAGCTTTGTTCACTGCAGCTAGTATCTTCCAGATCCCTTCCATACAAGACCAGTGTGCTAAATATATGATCAGTCATTTGGACCCACAGAACTCCATTGGAGTGTTTATCTTTGCTGATCACTATGGTCATCAGGAACTCAAAGACAGATCACAAGACTACATTCGTAAAAAGTTTCTGAGTGTCACCAAAGAGCAAGAATTTCTTCAGTTGAGAAAAGACCAACTGATAAGTATACTCGACAGTGATGATTTAAATGTAGACAAAGAAGAACACGTTTATGACAGCATTATAAGGTGGTTTGAGCATGAACAAAATAAGAGAGAAGTGCACCTTCCAGAAATATTTGCCAAATGCATCCGTATGCCTCTGTTGGAAGAGACATTTTTAGAGAAAATCCCTCCCGTGTTTGCACAGGCTATGGCCAAAAGCTGTGTACAAAAGGGACAACATAGTGCCAATGGCTATACACAACGGCTTGGAATGACCGCTTCTGAAATGATCATATGCTTTGATGCTGCCCACAAACACTCAGGAAAGAAGCAAACAGTGCCTTGTTTAGATTCGGTCACAGGGAGAGTGTTTAAACTATGCAAGCCACCAAATGACTTGAGGGAGGTTGGAATTCTTGTATCTCCTGATAATGATATTTATATCGCGGGTGGTTACAGACCGAGCAGCAGCGAGGTCTCCATTGACCACAGAGCAGAGAGTGATTTTTGGATGTACGATCACTCTGGCAATAGGTGGATTCCGAAAGCTCCTTTGTTGCGAGCCAGAATAGGCTGCAAGTTGGTTCATTGCTGTGGTAAACTGTATGCAATAGGTGGTCGTGTTTATGAAGGAGATGGGCGAAACTCACTCAAGTCTGTGGAGTGTTATGACAGCCGAGAGAACTGTTGGACAGCTGTCTGTCCCATGCCGGTAGCAATGGAGTTTCATAGTGCTGTGGAATATAAGGATAACATCTATGTTTTACAGGGTAAGGTGGTTTGACTGACTTTAACGGTGTTTTATTGCAAGTGGGGGTTGTTCAAGCCAAATGTCTGCGCTCTCTTGAGGGCCTTAGAAAACCCAAGTTTCTTGAATGTTTAAAGAGTGCCCTGGGACAATGGGGTGGGAGGAAAACTCTGGAGAGCAGTGGGTGAGGAAGAGTAAGGGTGCTGCTTGAGTTCTCATACCCTGGGAATGTGTCACTAAGTTGTAGTGATCGGTTATTGCACAAATGGCAGTTTTGGTGGTGGTCTAAGTCAACAGTATAGTATTAAATTTTATTGTAAAAATTCTTTATTAAATCTTCTTTATCTGGGTGAAATGCACTAATGTTGAAGAAAAGGTATTGCCCTATGGAAAAGCATTTTGCGTTTTATTTAGCTAAAACTGTGACAATTCCTGGTGTCTCTATTCTTGGTGACTTGTAAAAGTCAATTAACCACTGTAGGCCTTAGTTTCCTGCCCTACCCTTCTTTTTGAAGTCGTTCTGTTAACTAAGATAGATGATTTAACTCTTCCTGGTTAGCTCCTGTTAACTAGGAAAGGTGATTTAGCTTCTTTCTAGTTAGCTCTGTTAGTACTGCCTTCATATCCTTCCAGTAAATGATCAGACCTATTGATGTATTAGTTATTGATCCTTAAACAAATGGGAAGGATCATTATGGGAATGGATCAAATAATTTATTCTTCTCTTTATATTAGTTATTGATCCTTAAACAAATGGGAAGGATCATTATGGGAATGGATCAAATAATTTATTCTTCCCTTTATTTATGGAGATCTTATATAGAATATGTATTTGTATGTATGCACGAGCCATATAGCAGTCTGCACTTAAAAGTGCCGAGACTGATCTATGAAGCTGTAGAAAGAGCCCCAAGAAGTGGAAAGAAAGAAGCAGGGGATGTTTTCTTACATTTTGCTAAGGGCCACCTCTGTAACCACCTGCAGAAGATGGGAGCCAGTATGGATCTAAGACCCCTCCTTGGGTCACTCCCTGAACAAAGCTGGATCACAGAAAAAACATAGGATAGGGAATACCGTAAGGTCGTTGTTATTTACTGGAATGAGTCAACCTGTTTTCTTGACTTTGCATTCCCGTTAGTGGGTAAGTTTGGTGGGTTTCCATGTGATTTGTGGAGTTTTCTTTTTTCATTGTTTCTCTGTCAGGTTTGACTGTTGTTGGTTGTGGCTTTAAATAATTCTGTTAGGCTAGCAAGTTTTCTCAATCCGTCTCTTCTGTTGGGTCAAACATCTGCTTTAGATGGCTAAAAAGGAATGCTGAAGAATATTTAACTTGGTAGAGTATTCGTTCATCCTTTAAATGTTTTTTAGAACTGCTAAAAAGTGGATATTATTGTAACCTGCAGAATTAGACTGCATCTTGTTTACAAATTTTAGCTGCATTAATTCTTTGCTTCAGTGGTTTAAACATTTATGCGAGCATTGAGTTGTCAAGATACTTCACTGCTAACCAGCAAATTGTAAAGATTCCTGTTATGGGAAATAAGCAACTCTTCTATTTGAGCGTGATAGATAAAACCTTGATTGAGCTGCACTAAAGTAGTGTAAAAAAGTTTAACTTTCAGTAATTTTTCTAGAGAAAGCTAAAAAGGAATGCTGAAGAATATTTAACTTGGTAGAGTATTCGTTCATCCTTTAAATGTTTTTTAGAACTGCTAAAAAGTGGATATTATTGTAACCTGCAGAATTAGACTGCATCTTGTTTACAAATTTTAGCTGCATTAATTCTTTGCTTCAGTGGTTTAAACATTTATGCGAGCATTGAGTTGTCAAGATACTTCACTGCTAACCAGCAAATTGTAAAGATTCCTGTTATGGGAAATAAGCAACTCTTCTATTTGAGCGTGATAGATAAAACCTTGATTGAGTTGCACTAAAGTAGTATAAAAAAGTTTAACTTTCACTAATTTTTCTAGAGAAGGCTCATAAATTTGTAGTAGTCAATAAGGATTGATGAGAGTATTAAAATGCCAACGGAACACAAGCGTCAGTCGTAGGAGATTACACTGTGGAACAAAAATGAATAATCAAAAAAATGTATTATCTGTAAGACTTAATCTCTTAAGCTACGTTCCACCAATCTTACTGTATTATTTCTGTATTCTTTGTTATACTTGAGGTGCTTGGTTACACAGCAGCTTGGTTAAAATTCTTAAAATAGCCATGTGAAATTATGTATGATTTGAATTACGCTAATATTTGGCAAGTGTTAGGCCTTTCTTCCCCCTTGACTTTACAAAAGACAAAGTGGTCTTTATCCATGTTCTTTTCATCAAGTTTGCAGAGCATGAGCTCTCAGTGATCTGAACTTCCATTAGCTGCAGTCTGTAGATGCTGCTCTGTGCAGTCAACAGAAGAGGTGTTTTACAGTCGAATCACAAAACTAACAATGAATCAGTAGCTTCATGTGAGTATTCACCTGGCATCGTTTTAAGCAAATCAACCTACATGTGTAACCCAGCCACCTGATACAAGGAGCTTCAAAATCTGTGTGTAGTACAAGATACGAGTATTTGCTCAGATTTAACAGCTTTCCAGCACTGAATTCTAAGAGTCCACAGTCTGTAGATGACACGTTGTGAAGATGTTAAAGAACAAAACAAATACTTCAGTTATTTCAAGACTGGAATCTTGAAAGGTTTTGTCCCAAAATATTAAGCATGGATTTGAAGCAGTAAAGGATAGTTAGGAAATATGTAAAATACTGTGTTTCTGATATGCTTCAAACTCCCTCTTCTTCACCTGGAATAGAAACCCAAGGATTTTATTCATGCTATTAGTATTTTTGTAAGGCACTTGGAAGAAGGCAGGTGATGATGGTGCTGGGTTTTTTGTTATGGGATGAAGGCTTTTAAAAATTGGTAGACTGTTTCTGTCTGTGGAAGAACATACCTGAAAGCTTAGTAGCTGCAGAATTGCTGTTCTGGAAGTGAAGCATAAGTTATGTTTTATTTTTCCTCTCTCTTTTCAGGGGAATTTTTTCTCTGCTATGATCCTCAGAAGGATTACTGGGGATTTTTGACCCCAATGACTGTGCCTAGAATCCAAGGCTTGGCAACTGTATACAATGACTCCATCTACTACATAGCTGGAACCTGTGGAAACCATCAACGTATGTTTACCGTAGAGGCCTATGACATTGAACAAAATAAGTGGACTCGAAAAAAAGACTTCCCCTGTGATCAGTCCATTAATCCATATATAAAACTCGTACTCCTCAAAAATAAACTCCATCTGTTTGTCAGAGCTACTCAAGTCACTGTTGAAGAGCACGTTTTCAGAACCAGCAGGAAGAATTCACTCTACCAGTACGATGAGGTTACTGACCAGTGGCAAAAAGTATACGAGACTCCAGATAGGCTCTGGGATTTAGGCCGGCATTTTGAATGTGTTGTTGCTAAATTGTATCCGCAGTGTCTTCAGAAAGTTATTTAAATTTTTTTTTTTTTCTTTCAGTAACAGGCCTTAGTGATTTCAGTGGTAACCTGATGCTAGAGAAAACATGTCTTAAAAGAAAACAAAGAAATTCTGTCAGTATTTATTGTAAGCTGAAAACAGACAGTTTTTTTTGTATGTGGGGATGGGTGCTCTTTAAAGGTTGCAGTCTGGGGAGGGAGTTACTGGTTCAGTTTCATATTTACTGATGTTTTCCTGAGAAATGAGAAGGAGGTTACAAAGTGCAATTATCAGCATTTTTTTTTTCTGGTAAACACTTAATCATGTCATACTAGAGGGGTGTTTTTGTGGTAACAGCAAATTAAGTGGAAGAGCCAGGATAACTATGCACTACAGTGGAAGAAAATCTAGCATTAATAGCTAAGGATGTCCAAGATGTTTTGAAGTGACTTTTCTTTTTTTCCTTTTTTTTTTAAATACGGGTAAAATTTGAGGCAATATCACTAAGTTTTGGGTTTCTTTTTTATTTTAGATTGAAAGTACATAGAGGAATGGTAGATCCTGATTCGTAATGATCTTGTGCTGTTTTTGAAGTCTGCTAAGATGTTTGTGATGTTGTTTGTGCACTACGATTTGGGAGAAAAAACTCAAGTCAGAATTGGAGCATGGAGTACCTTTGCCCCAGACAGAGGCCTGTTCAGATTATTGTACCACTTCCTGTCTGTGGAATTTTTGTTAAAATTGAGCTTAATGGTAAGGGGGGGGGGGGAGAACCCAACCCCTGTTTTCTGCCACATAGATGTAGTGCTGTAAAAAAAAAAAAGTGGTTTTTTTTTTCAACACTGCTTAAAACCTTTTTTTTTTTTTTTATCATCCCATAAAGGGCTTTAACCCAAAAGTTGATGGTGCTAGTACGTTTTTAATACTTGTTTGTCTGAAATGGGCTAGCCTTATGCTACTGTTTAAGACAGCCTGTTCTTTTTCATGGAGTGTGTGTCTGTCTTCGGGCCTGGTCCTGTCATCATATTGTCTTTTTTAACATAACATTTTTACTGCAGTGGTATTCTTGCACAGAATGGTGACAGGATATGGCCTTAATAATAGTGATATGTTTTTTTTTTTCTTTTTGTGTGGAGTATTCATTCTGTCTCCACTAAAGTACAGTGCTATGTGCAGAGTTGGCATGTGCTCCAGTAATTTGGAAAAGTGTGGCTTAACTTTACAAGTTGTTTTTCTTTTCTCCCCACAATCAACCCCTCAAATACCTTCTATTTCATTCTGATCTATAATGTGAAAATTTGCACTACTGAGCTGTCTTCGTTATCCAGTGTATTAAAGCAAAATTGACAATAAGTGTCCGTGGCTTAAATAATTTAAAATGCAAATATAGACTATGGATCCGATACCTTGCAACACTTTTCTCTATGTATTTAACATTTAGCTTATTTTTAAGAATAAGTTTAAAGTTTAGCCTCTACTTCAGTAGTGAAAACTGGATTTAAAAGGGAAAAAAAATGAATCCTAAAACTCATATTGGCTGTGATTTCCCAGGTTTTATTTGTTACAGCTCTTAATTTTTGCAGAGATGCGAGTGTGTTATCTTCCTCTTCCCTCTTTTCTCAAATTAACTTAAATAAACCAGTTAACTTGAAATGGCAGTGGCCATCTCTGGCTGTAAGTGCTTACCATTATCTGGCTTAACAGCTGATATTTCAGCAAGCCAAATATTTAGCTCATTGTTTATCCCCCTGGCATGGCTGAGGATTTGGATAATGTTTGTTTACTATGTGGTCTTACTGTTCCCAAATGGAATCTTTCTAATACATGAAAATACTCGCCTGGTTCTATTTCTTAATTCTTGCACAAAATGTTTAAAAGGCAAAAGCAAACAAAAAACTGTGAAATTAAAAGGAAAACGAAAAAATGCCTCTTTGCATTACATACCTCATCTTCCAGAGATTCACCAAACCGCTTCTTTTGATTGCGAGCGCCTGAAGTTGTTTGTTTGTTTTTTTTTTTTTTCCTGAAGCTGACAAATCTTGCTAAGACTGCATTTTCCAAGGGTGTTGAGGTGTGTGGTTTCATTGTTTAGTTTTCTTCTGGATACAGTTTTATATCTATCCATAGCCAAGAATAAGAGTTTGTTGTTTTGTTTTGTTTTTTAAAGTACAACTAATTTCATTTAAGAAATTATCCTTAGTCCTTGGCTAGCTCTCTTTGCGCTGTTGTAGGCCTCTAGCTGCAAGCTTTCTGAAGCACCCTTCCTAACAGTGTTGCATTTGTGTGTAAAACCATTTTTTCTTTGGCAAAGTGTTATGTAACTTTTTTCTTGTTTTTTTGTTTTGTTTGGATTTTTTTTTTTTTTTTTTTTTTTTTTTTATCATCCCATAAAGGGCTTTAACCCAAAAGTTGATGGTGCTAGTACGTTTTTAATACTTGTTTGTCTGAAATGGGCTAGCCTTATGCTACTGTTTAAGACAGCCTGTTCTTTTTCATGGAGTGTGTGTCTGTCTTCGGGCCTGGTCCTGTCATCATATTGTCTTTTTTAACATAACATTTTTACTGCAGTGGTATTCTTGCACAGAATGGTGACAGGATATGGCCTTAATAATAGTGATATGTTTTTTTTTTTCTTTTTGTGTGGAGTATTCATTCTGTCTCCACTAAAGTACAGTGCTATGTGCAGAGTTGGCATGTGCTCCAGTAATTTGGAAAAGTGTGGCTTAACTTTACAAGTTGTTTTTCTTTTCTCCCCACAATCAACCCCTCAAATACCTTCTATTTCATTCTGATCTATAATGTGAAAATTTGCACTACTGAGCTGTCTTCGTTATCCAGTGTATTAAAGCAAAATTGACAATAAGTGTCCGTGGCTTAAATAATTTAAAATGCAAATATAGACTATGGATCCGATACCTTGCAACACTTTTCTCTATGTATTTAACATTTAGCTTATTTTTAAGAATAAGTTTAAAGTTTAGCCTCTACTTCAGTAGTGAAAACTGGATTTAAAAGGGAAAAAAAATGAATCCTAAAACTCATATTGGCTGTGATTTCCCAGGTTTTATTTGTTACAGCTCTTAATTTTTGCAGAGATGCGAGTGTGTTATCTTCCTCTTCCCTCTTTTCTCAAATTAACTTAAATAAACCAGTTAACTTGAAATGGCAGTGGCCATCTCTGGCTGTAAGTGCTTACCATTATCTGGCTTAACAGCTGATATTTCAGCAAGCCAAATATTTAGCTCATTGTTTATCCCCCTGGCATGGCTGAGGATTTGGATAATGTTTGTTTACTATGTGGTCTTACTGTTCCCAAATGGAATCTTTCTAATACATGAAAATACTCGCCTGGTTCTATTTCTTAATTCTTGCACAAAATGTTTAAAAGGCAAAAGCAAACAAAAAACTGTGAAATTAAAAGGAAAACGAAAAAATGCCTCTTTGCATTACATACCTCATCTTCCAGAGATTCACCAAACCGCTTCTTTTGATTGCGAGCGCCTGAAGTTGTTTGTTTGTTTTTTTTTTTTTTCCTGAAGCTGACAAATCTTGCTAAGACTGCATTTTCCAAGGGTGTTGAGGTGTGTGGTTTCATTGTTTAGTTTTCTTCTGGATACAGTTTTATATCTATCCATAGCCAAGAATAAGAGTTTGTTGTTTTGTTTTGTTTTTTAAAGTACAACTAATTTCATTTAAGAAATTATCCTTAGTCCTTGGCTAGCTCTCTTTGCGCTGTTGTAGGCCTCTAGCTGCAAGCTTTCTGAAGCACCCTTCCTAACAGTGTTGCATTTGTGTGTAAAACCATTTTTTCTTTGGCAAAGTGTTATGTAACTTTTTTCTTGTTTTTTTGTTTTGTTTGGATTTTTTTTTTTTAAAGCTTGGTTGAATATTTACAAGACTTCTTGCTGCTTTTTGACAATCTTCTATATTTATTTAGTAGAACAAATTTCAATATATTACTTGAAACTATGAAATAGAATTGAGTTAGCAATTGACTGGTCATGTGATGTATAGAAGTACAATATGCTGTGGTTAATTCTGCAGTAGGTTTGTTAATTTTGTTTATCTGCACTAAAGTACGAAGATCTCCATTCTGTTTAACCATTCAAACTGAGGGTGTGATCCAAGTCTGTAATGTGTTTAAAAGCTAAAATCCTGGAACTTGCTGTGGGAGTAGAATATACTAAATCTTGTGCATGAGGAGTTTGTTGAGACAGTAATGTAGCTGTGACATTTTGCCAATTCTTAAATGCTTCTACGTTTTGCTGAAAGTCAGATTCCTGGTAAAGTTTTGCTTTAGAGTCAGGCTTAAGTAAACTTGCACAGCACAAAAAAATAATGCACCAAAGGTACTGATAATATTTAGACAGTAATCTGTACATTTTCCCCACTTGGTATTTTTTCTGCATTCATTTATTTCCCTTTATTAAGTGAATTTCTAGCATTGTAAGGACTCTACATGAGTGTAAATCTCTTTTCCAAAATTATTAGTTACTTTAGAAGGAAACATTTTGTAATTTCCACTTGATTCCATCAGTAAAATTTAGAATAACTCAAAGCAGTTTTGGTGCACCAAACATGCAGTGAGTGTATGTTCTACAAGAAATGGAAGAGCTCCCTGTCCGTAAGGCTGTTCAGAAATGGCATCCAACATTCAGTGCTCAGGTATGTTAGTAAGAAGTACTGTAGTCCTCTGAGGGCAAATGTGTGGATTTTTAAACATTTTGCCATAATTGCACAATTTTGCATTTTTACTTAATGTCATGTTATGTTTCTTAAAATAAACCTATTGTTGAAATACAGTGGAGTTCAACTGGTTTTGTGATAAATCTCCTTCACGTGTTTTAGTGGAGTAAATTTCTGAAGATTTACCCAATGATACGACTTTTTTTGGTGCTTGTTCAGTTTTCCTGTGTCTGCGCTTGCGTGTCTCAGCTGTATGTAATGTCATGTGTGTGGTGTTTTTTCTTTTTAGGGCAACGCTACACTGTTCCTTGAGGTGGAAGGTGCTTTGTTCTGCTTTTTTGGGTCGTTTCTTGTGGCTCTTCAGGTCTAACTTCTCTCTTGCTTACACAGAGGAGACATTGCATTTCCCCTTCCCTGCCTCCCCGCCGTTGGCTGGAGCTGACATCCCAGCAGGAACGCTGAGTAGGGCTGTCCAGTCTGGTGGTACTGTTCATTGGAAAATGCTGAAAGTCTTCATACGGAATTTCCCAGCATCTTTACTTAATAGGGAAGTTACTTCCCAGGTGGTAGAAGGGACGGAGAGATGGTGGTGATGTTGTTTGTGAAGGAATCTGCTCCAGAGCTGGGAGTGAGAGGCCTTCTCTCCCCCAGCAGTTTAAGCAAAACTCCAGCCTTAAATGTGTCGTCTGATATAGTGGTGGTGCTTATCACATCAGCTGGTAAATTCTGCTTTTTATTTGAGAACCCTTTTTCCCTTTCAGAGACTCTCTAATGACTTTAGCAGTGATGCTGCGTCACCACAGCCTAGGGAAACAGCAGGAAGTTCTCTTGGTTGGGAAGGCCCTCCTATTGTCAGGTTCTCACAGGCCTTGCTTCCACCCCCTCAGTGCCTCATTCTGGGTGTGATTTGAAGACTGTTTGCTGTGTTTGCTGGCAGTCTGGTTACAGCAGAAACAATTCAGGAGTCTGGGCTAGTGGTGGGTGCGTGTGTGTTCAGATGAAGTCCACCACGTGTGGTCAGCAAGCCAGGCTGGGCTGGCTGCCTGGGCTCTCCAGTTAGAGCACCCCAGAGTCCCAGCTTCTTTCTGTCATCACTGGTTTATCTTGTATGACCATGACATTGTTCTTCACAGAGTTGAGCTCCT